TCCTCAGCACCACATAAGCAAAAAGAAAAAAGCCGGAAGTGGCGCTGTGGCTCAAGTGGTAGAGCGCTAGCCTTGAGCTGAAGAGCTGAGGGACAGCGCCCAGGCCCAGAGTTCAGGCCCCAAGACCGGACCCAAAAAAAAAAAAAAAAGAATAAAAAACTTCACTACTATATATCTAAAGCAGCTTATTTCTAAGGAGTACAACAACAGTAACATTTTTCAGAATGATGCTAGGGTGGGAAGTTTCCTTCTGTGTCACCTGACCACTAACATTTATCTCATAAACAAAGTACTGTACACAGGTCCTGAATATTGTTCTAAACCCAAAGTACAGTTGCTGTACATATTCTAGATTCATCTTGCTATAGCAGAATCTCTCCTATAATTAGAAGGTTAATGAGTCATTTTTAGCCCATACTTTGACCTACTTTAAATAGCTCAGTAATGTTTGTTGCAAAATTTCAATATTATTTTAGGTTTTTCCATTTCAGTTACTATTTACAATTCTCTCCCTCAATGGAGAAAATAGCTTTTCAAGAGAGTAATCCTTTTAAAATGGCCTGTTGGGTACATTCTTTTAAAAACAAAAATGAGCTACCAGTTTAGCTTCCTTTAAACTAAACAAGATACAGAAGATAAAATTTTTCTAAGAACAAAAAGATAAAAGCCTTAAAAATGACTCCCAAAGGCAATCATGCTATTCAGTATACACTATGTGAAAAATGACCTATGTAACTTTTAGGCAGGGATGGGAGGGGAAAAACCGTGAAGGAAAGGCTGACACCCGCCAAGGAAAGGCATGCACTTATTACCTCACCGATGAAATGGTAATCCCTCTGTGCAACACCTTAATAACAACAATAAAATTATATTAAAAAATGACGGGGGAGGGAGATGGGAAGAGATGGGAAGGGGAAACAAAGGAGGAGGTAACAATGCTTGATAAGAAATGTACTCATTACCTTGCCCATGTAATTGTAACCCCTCTGTAAGGAATTTTCACAATTAAAAAAAATTAAAAAAACAGGGCTGGGAATGTGGCTCAGTGGTAGAGTGCTTGCTTTGCATGCCTGAGGCCCTGGGTTCGATTCCTCAGCACCACATAAGCAAAAAGAAAAAAGCCGGAAGTGGCGCTGTGGCTCAAGTGGTAGAGCGCTAGCCTTGAGCTGAAGAGCTGAGGGACAGGGCCCAGGCCCTGAGTTCAGGCCCCACCACCGGACCCCCCCCCAAAAAAAATTAAAAAACAATGACTCCCACACTAGAAATTGCCACTCTAATTCATAGTAGAGATAGAATTGTAGACAATCTAGACACATGGGGGGAAAAAAGTGTAGTGGGTGTAATATACTTGAAGAAAAGTAAGTGAATTGTGTCCACAACCAAGGTCTTTCAAGCTAAGAATACAAGTTTGTCTAAGAATAAGAAATTACTGGGGCTGGGAAGGTGGCTCAGTGGTAGAGCGCTTGCCTTGCATGCATGAGGCCCTGGGTTCAATTCCTTAGCACCACATAAGCAAAAAGAAAAAAGCTGGAAGTGGTGCTGTGGTTCAAGTGGTAGAGCACTAGCCTTGAGCTGAGGGACAGCGCCCAGGCCCAGAGTTCAGGCCCCACGACCAGACCCAAAAAAAAAAAAACAAAACCAAATTACCCAAAAAAGAAATGCACTTATGTAACTGTAACCCCTCTGTACATCACCGTTATAATAACTTAAAAAAAAAAAAACACAGCAACAGGGGTTGGGAATGTGGTGTAGTGGTAGAGTGCTTGCCCATGCATGAAGCCCTGGGTTCAATTCCTTAGTACTATATAAAAGGAAAAAGATGGAAGTGGTGCTGTGGCTCAAGTGGTAGCGTGCCAGCCTTGAGCAAAAGAAGCTCAGGGACAGTGCCCAGGCCCTGAGTTCAAGCCTCAAGACAACAAAAACAAAAACAAAAACCAGCAACAAAGAAAAAAATTTGAATACTGTTGTTAGAACTCTTTAAAACAACCCTTATGAGACAAAGGAATACAAGCTGAGAAATCTCTTGATTTCGACAGGCTTAACATCTCATTCCTCAAGAAGAAACGAGTGATTCTCTTCCACGTTTCTCCTTTTTCAGGGCAGGCTACAAAACGTTCAAACTAGGAAACCAGTAGCTTCTTCAATGATCCTCAAGACGTAGGCCCTCTCTATGTTATTTTATAGGCTCTAGTTAAAAGTACAATGCAATGCATGTGGCTGCCTGAGCAGCAGGCTTCACTAGATAGACCCCATCCCCTCCCAGCCCCCTCAAAAACAAAACCAAAAAAAAAAAAAAAAACAGAAAGAAACAAACAAAAAGCAAAAAGCATGGCCCAATGGGCAGAACGCCAGTCTACCAACTGCGAGGTCCAAGTGTTCGAACACCAGTAGTGCCCAAACGAAAAGACACAACCTGGATGTAAATGGCAGATGGCTTTCAAGGTAGTCAGACCGCCTTGAGCATACAAAACCCGCGGGGACTGCGCTGCACTTGAACATTTTTTTTCCCGCTTTTTAGGTAAACTTTGTTTTGTGTTTCTCACGCTTATCTGTCCTGCGAGTCCCTGAGGACGTCTCGGTGGAAGAGGGGTCCGGAGCACCCGCCACCGGTGGGTGACCATTACCAACTGCCGGGTCCTGCTGCGTGGCGGCCCGCCCGGACCTCTTCTGGTCCATCACCGGGTGTAATTTCTCTCATCACCACCTTCTACCGCGCCACCATTTGGAGCCTGGGCAACGGCCCCGCGTCCCGGGGCCCTCCTCCCCGGCGTGGGCCCGCGGGGGCCGCCCCGCCGCCGCGGCCTGGCGTACGGCGCTTCCCCGGCGCCTGGGCCCCGCCGCCGCGGCCTGGCGTACGGCGCTTCCCCGGCCCCTGGGCCCCGCCGCCGCGGCCTGGCGTACGGCGCTTCCCCGGCCCCTGGGCCCCGCCGCCGCGGCCTGGCGTACGAGGCTTCCCCGGCCCCTGGGCCCCGCCGCCGCGGCCTGGCGTACGAGGCTTCCCCGGCCCTGGGCCCCGCCGCCGCCGCGGCCTGGCGTAGGAGGCTTCCCCGGCCCCTGGGCCCCGCCGCCGCGGCCTGGCGTACGAGGCTTCCCCGGCCCCTGGGCCCCGCCGCCGCGGCCTGGCGTACGAGGCTTCCCCGGCCCCTGGGCCCCGCCGCCGCGGCCTGGCGTACGAGGCTTCCCCGGCGCCTGGGCCCCGCCGCCGCGGCCTGGCGTACGGCGCTTCCCCGGCGCCTGGGCCCCGCCGCCGCGGCCTGGCGTACGAGGCTTCCCCGGCCCCTGGGCCCCGCCGCCGCCGCCGCGGCCTGGCGCACAGCGCTTACCCATCACCTGGACCCTGCAGATGGCGCACGTATCGCACTCCACGTCCCAGCTCCACATGGCCACCGCGTTCCACTTCTTCAGGGAGAACATCTTGTCGCCCCCGGACTTGGAGCCTGCGCTCCCGGAGTGAGAGGACAGGGCGCAGGACTCCTCGCCGTCCTCCACGTCGGCCATGGCGACGGCGCCGAGCCGGCGACGAGGTCGTTGGGCCGCCGGGAGGCGGGCGACGAGTATGGCGGCTCCGTGGGGCCGCGCGACGGGCCACAGCGCCGCCCGCAGGCCGTCGCCCCGGCGGAACGCGGGCGCGCCCCGCCCCCGCGCCAGCCCCGCCTCGCCCGGGATTGGCTGCCGCGGGGGAGTGACGTCGCGGGCGTGCGCGTGCGCGTGCGCGGGGCGGGGTCGCGGCCCGGGCGGCCGGCCGGGGGCCGGAGGCTTCCGGCGATCGCACCCGCCCGGGGACGCGGCTGCGGTGGTGGAAGTTGAGCCGTGCGCCGGGCCGGCCCGTGGCTCGGGCCCGGGATCCTAGCCGGGGTTTGGAGCATGTCCGGGGGACTTGTACCTCCACGGAACGGGCAAAAGGCCGGTGGTGGAGCCTGGGGCGGAGGAGCCACGGCCGGGCCCGGCACCGGGTGGGGGGGTGCGGGGGGTGCAGGCGGGATGCGGGACAGCCGGGCCCTGGGGGGGGTGAGGGGCGCTACCTGGCACCCGTGGAGGGCAGCGACCCGAGGACGTGCGCCCTGTACTGTCAGTGCATGCTGATGAAAATCCTTTAAAAAGAAAAACCTGATGCTGACGAGAGAGAGAGAGAAGAGGGAGGGAGAAAAAGAAAGCACCCTGCTAACCTGTGCCTTTTGTCTCTGAACAAACAGCAAATGTAAACGTACACAGCTTGTGCTTGGTATCTGTCGATGTGCTGCCTGGCTACAGCAGCAATCGTTTTGCTGCCTGAAGGAAGAGTGACCTTAATAAAAGGTGGAGAAACTTGCTTCAGTGGTTCTCAAGGGTTTCGGGGCGGGGGGGGGGGTCCCCGGGACAGATTTACACTTAACTTCTATTAATTTTATTTTCTTGTCAGTCCTGGGGGCTTGAACTCAGGGCCAGGGCGCTGTCCTCCGAGCCTTTTAAGCACTCGAGGGTAGTTAGCGCTGTGCCACTTTGAGCCACATCTCCACCTCCAGCTTGTTGGTGGTTCATTGGAGATAAGAGTCTCATGGACTCTCCTGCCCAGGCTGGTTTTGAACTGTGATCCTCAGATCTCAGCTTCCTGAGTAGCTAGGATGACAGGCATGAGCCACCGGTGCTTGACAGGTTTTTATTTTTGTTTTTGTTGCTGGGCCTGGGGTTTGAACTCTGGCCCTGGGTACTGTCCTTGAGCTTCTTTGCTTAAAACCAGCAGTTTACCACTTTGAGCCACAGAGGCACTTCTGGCTTTTTAATTGGAGATGAGACTCTCACGGACTTTCTTGCCAGGGCTGGCTTTGAACAGTGATCCTCGTATCTCAGCCTCCGGAGTAGCTACGATTACAGGCGTGAGCCACCAGTGCCCAGCCTAAACATTCCTATTTAATCTGTGTGTACATTTATAAAAGAAAGTGCTGTCTTTTTTGGATAGAGTATGACTTAAAGTTGTAAATTTTGCATGCCCAGCGGAAGAATGCTCCTTTCTAAGACCTACTTGTAAAACCCACATTTTAGAGAATGACAAGTGCAATAGAGAGTATGAACACTACTTCCAACTTTCATAAAAGTTATTGATTTTTAAAACTTGGAAAAGTTATAGATGACAATGGAAAATACTACTGCAGAAGAAACGTCTTTGTGGGCATGCCTGGTTGGCCATCGGAAGGGATGGCATCCAAACAGAAATGTGGCTTCTATATTCGTGTTTTAGCCTGTGGAATAATGAACAGGAAGTTCTGTAAGAAGCAGGAAGTTCTTTAAGGAGTAGAGAACAAACATGCATCATTCATTCCCCCCTAAAGGGCAGCCTGGGCTTCATCAAGGCCCATTGCCTTTCAGGTCCACAATTGACCTGTGGGAGCTAGGATTTGGATTGGGGAGGGGTGGAGGAGGGAGACAGTTACACTACTTAGATGGAACAATGCTCTTTTATTATTTATAAGTGTGGATATTCACACACATGTACTCTGCTTAATTGGAGATAAGAGTCTAAAACTTTCCTGCCCTTGGCTGGCTTTGAAATGTGATCCTTAGATCTCAGCCTCCTGAGTCGCAAGGATTACAGGTGTGAGCTGCTGGTGCCTGGCACTGTCTGTTGATACAATCACCATCCATCTGAATGACAGGAGTGCAACCACAGCCTAAATTCTCAACCTGTTAAGTGCAAAATCTCTGCTATCAACCCAAGCTGAGACCCAGGCCCCATATGGCGCCCCCTGGTGGCTATTTGTCACCTACACACATTTGAGAACGTACCATTTTCTTCTTCTTCTTATGAATAGTCTTAGTCTTCGATTTCTTGCTGTTTTTCCAAATAGATGTGAAGGTATCAGAAGAGATCTGGGGAGTGACTGTAATTTTTAGTATAGGAAGTTTTCCTGAGAGGGATGGAGGAAGAACAAAATCACAAATTGGTAGGACAGATCACCACTCTTTTGGGCATCTGGGTCTTAGGCTTTCAAGCCCTCATTGAGGGGAGGACATCAGGAACCCCTGATAGCTTAGGTTTGCTTTTTGTATTTGAAACTGATAATTATTCATGTGTGATGTATGTTGTTTTTTAGTGTGAAACCTTTTCCATGGCTATTCTTTGACCTACGGGTATTGTTAATATTCATTTACATTTTGTAGGTGTGTGTGTTTGTGAGAATGTATGTGTGGTTAATAACTGACAAAGGCATGAAACTCTAGTTGTGATTTAATTCCTCCCTTCCCTTATTTTTTTTCTGTGCTGCACTGGTTCAATAAAATGCACTGGCTACCATTAAAAGGAAAGCAGGAGAATCTTCTTGGTAGGCAAGTGAGAGATCTCAGCCTGTTAATTTGTATTTCATGTTTGAAATGAAATTAGGAATTAGCTTGCTAAGCAAATGATAAGAACACAAAGACAACCAATAGGAAAACTTTACTTCTGTCATCAGAGATGTGACTAATTGCTCTTAATGTTTTAAAATGGTGCCATTAGAGCCAAATAGCAAGGGAGTTTTCCCTGTGAAATCCAACCAGTTAGCCTCATTTGGAAGTCAGAATAGAAAAGTGAAGTGTTCCATTAGGAACATCCCATAATTATTTCAAGAGAAAAATACATTAAAGCCTGTAATAATTTATCCCACTAAATTTTTTTTTTTGGGGGGAGACCTGATTTCCAGAACTATCACTTACTTTTTAATGCTTTTTAAATGACTACTTGTGTTTTCAGGTGGGTGTTTTGTAATTGCCTTCACATTTATACAAATTAACACATTTCCCAAGCAAGCAAAATGTTTTCTAGTTCCAAATAGGTGCTCAAGGGTATGGTTTCCTATCCAGTCATCTGAGGGTTCATGGTTAGCCTGCATTACAGTGATGGTGAGCTGCCTTCTACTGCATACTTAATGGAAAAGTCACTGCAGTGCCAGGAAAACCCACACCACAAGCCTGCCTTCTGTGTGCTGAGACTCAACTAAGTCCACATTAAATCCAGCACAATCAATCCAGCTGGAGCAGAGTGCAAACCAGCTCTAGCTGTCCAAAATGAAAAGGTGATCATGAGCTCTTAGAACTATGTGATTGGCCATTAAAAAAAGCAAAAAATAGCCAGGCACTGGTGGTTCACACCTGTAATCCTAGCTACTCAGGAGGCTGAGATCTAAGGATCAAGGTTCAAAGCCCAGGCAGGAAAGTCTATGAGACTCTTTTTTTTTTTTGTCGGTCATGGGGCTTGAACTCTGGGCCTGGGCACTGTCCCTCAGCTCTTCAGCTCAAGGTGAGCACTCTACCACTTGAGCTACAGCGCCACTTCCGGTTTTCTGGTGGTTTATTGGAGATAAGAGTCTCACAGTCTCTCCTGCCCGGGCTGGCTTTGAACCGTGATCCTCAGATCTCAGCCTCCTGAGTAGCTAGGATTACAGGCTCACGTTAGGATTACAGGCGTGAGCCACCAGCGCCCGTGTCTATGAGACTCTTATCTCCAGTGAGCCACCAGAAAACCAGAAGTGGTGCTGTGGCTCAAGTGGTAGAGCACTCACCTTGAGCTGAAGAGCTCAGAGACAGCGCCCAGAGGTCAAGCCCCATGACTGACCAAAATAAATAAATAGAAATCATTACTTAGATCATAGGCTATCATAAAAGATCTTGAACCCTGAAGATCACGGAGCACACTGACACAGTGGTCACCAGCCCTGGCAGGGCTTGCTGTGTAAACGAAAAGAGCAACGAGACTGCTTGTGAACAGTTGAGGGTGGTGGAAGTGAGCAGGTAGGACAGCAGGAGGGAAACTTATAAAATGACGTATAAAACGGTAACCTGTCTTTCTGGCCCTCAGTGCTTGCAGGATGTCGGCGGCAGCCATTTCCCCCAGGGCATTGCTTCCAAGGTCAACTTCCCTTAAATGGGCTGAAAATCTGATGAGGCTGCCCAGAGAAAGACAGAGCAAAATATCATTGTGCCAGGCAGGCTTCCTTAAAACAAGTCAGGCCAGTTATGGTAGAGAAAGATCTTTCTTTTCAGGTTCTATCTGTCCTTCCTGCCACACCCGAGATAGTACCCAGACCTCTCACACCCTGCTTAGAATGCTTTACTCCTAGGTAAGTTTCTAAGGATTTTATTTGCCAAGTCCTCTTTTTTTTTTTTAAGGTTCAGGTTAACATTTTGCTTTATTATTATTATTATTATTTTGAACTCAGGTCCTGGGCACTGTCCCTGAGCTGCTTCTGCTCAAGGCTAGCACTCTACCATTTGAGCCACAGCGCCACTTCCGGCCTTTTCTGTGGTGTGGTACTTAGGAATCCAAGCCAGGGCTTCGTGCATGCTAGGCAAGCATTCTACCACTAAGCCACATTCCAGCCCCATTTTTATTTTTCCAATGGACATATATTTGTAGCATGAAGGGGTTTCTTGGTGCTATTTCCATATATACATAGAGAGCACTTTTAAAAGAATTCACCCCCTCCACCATATTCCTGTTCCCTCTTTCCTCCCTACCTTTTCTAACAGCAGTTGCTGGGTTCCATTATGGTGTGTGTGTGCACATACATGCAAACACGCATGCGTGTTGTTCAACCCTCTTCACCCCTCAGCATCCCCCCCCTTTGTTTCCTTCTCCCTGCTTGATGGTATCCCCTAGACATCCCCCTTTGACACCCCTGTCTCATTACTGTCATTGTCCTTATCGTCATCATCCAACATTTTAAGTCCCCTATTCATTCACTTCCTTAAAGGATGGGGTTTGATGTGATGATGACTTCATAGCCATTCACATTTTACACTTCAGCAAAATCTCGATAAATCTGGAGGGACCAGAGGGGTTAGGTACTTTAAACAAATAATGCCTACTTAGCAACACTATAAAGAAAAATATTCCCGCCGGGTGCCAGTGGCTCACGCCTGTCATCCTAGCTACTCAGGAGGCTGAGATCTGAGGATCTCGGTTCAAAGCCAGCCCAGGCAGGAGAGACCGTGAGACTCTTATCTCCAATAAACCACTAGAAAACCGGAAGTGGCGCTATAGCTCAAATGGTAGAGCGCTCACCTCGAGCTGAAGAGCTGAGGGACAGCGCCCGGGCCCAGAGTTCAAGCCCCATGACCGACAAAAAAAAAAAAGAGAGAAAAATATTCCCATAAAATGAGGAAGGGCAGCATCTTGAAATAAAGGGGGGCTTTGAGAAGCAAGTAAGGTTAGCTTTATGGAAAACATTTAGGGTTAGGATAGCCTCTTCTTTCTCAGGCTACATTGCTTACAGTTTGGCTTTCTTTGACCTTGGGGAACAAAACTCTAGAGGCCCTGTGTCCTGTCTTGGCGTAGTGGCTGCCTTCACACAGTGAGATCCTTTTCTGGGCTCACACAACTGTAGGTAGGGACCAGGGGCTCCTCCCCCTCCTCAGAGCCAGGACCTCACTAGTAAGTGCTAAAAAGCTGAGACTCCATCATTGTCATGAGATTTTATTCACACACTCGTATCTGCAAATCAGACTTCTTACTTTGCTACTCACCATGTTAAAATCCGAGTGAACTCCACCAAGTGTTCGCCTTCCTTTCCATCTATGCCATTGTCTGCCAAGTGCAACTTCACCAGCCAAGGGCCAGCTTCTGCCAGAGCTTTGGCTTTTTTCTTGATTCCTCCAAGAGAATTACAATATTAGGTTATTTTTACATAATGATTCCTAGTTACCAGCAGTAACTGGACTTGTGTGAGTGGATTTCCTTTTTGCAGTATACTCAAATACTACATAAGTAATTTTTTTTTTAAGTTTCTGTGGCCCAAGTTGAACTGGAACTTGCCATCCCCCTGGCTTCTGAGAGCTGGGGTTACAAACAAGCACGTGCCACCACACTGTATGTAACCTTAAAAGTCCTGGTTTTGTACTCAGTCCCTCCTTTCTTCTTAACTACAAACCAGAATTGCTCTTGCATAAAAGGAGCCTCCATGGCAGATGTAGATAGTTGCCTTTGATCTAACTACGGAGGGAATGGACGGACGGGTTGTCTGCTGATTTTGGCCACATGACAGCCCTTAGAAAGATAGTTAGCTCTTACAAAAGGATTCATTTCTTTGGATATGAATCTAGTCTAGTGGTTTACTGGGTGAAATAGATTTTCCTTCCAAACACAGTTGGGGGAATGAAACTGTCCTATCCTTTTGTTTTCCTGGGGATGAGCCTAAGTGGTGTGTGGTGTGATGTGGTATGTGTGTGTGTGTGTGTGTGTGTGTGTGTGTGTGTGTGTGTGTGTGTGTGTGTGTGTGATGGTCCTAGGGCTTGAAAGAACGGCTTAGATGATGTCCTTGAGCATTTGTGCTCAAGACTAGGCTCTACTACTTGACATACAGCTCTACTTCTGGCTTTTTGGGTGGCTAACTGGAAATTAGAGTCTCAATGATTTTCTTGCCTTGGCTGACTCCAAACTGAGATCCTCAATCTCAGTCTCGGGAGTAGCTAGGATTACAGGCTGAGACACCGGGGCCCAGCTTGTCTAAATCTAACAGTCTGCATGGAGGGGACAGAATGACAGCAAATGGCGGTTGCCATGAATAATATAAGTCACATGCTCTTAAAGTCCTGCCCCGCAGTGCTGTGAGCGGTTCACACTTGGACAGCTCTCCTCATCCTGGCAACCCTGCTCAGTATGGGCTTGTGATCTGTTAACATTCCTCCAAAATTGCCCCATTAATACTTCTAAGTAACAGTCAGAGGAGACAAGTCTCCAGGCTGCATTTATGAGGTCTTGCTGAGCCGTTCCCAAACCAGCCTCAGCCCCGTAATTCTTTGCTGGAATGCTGAGTGGGCCAAGGATGAATCCCTCTGCCCACACGGTGCGACTGCTCTGGTTGGATGTCTGGTAAGTCCCCAACATTGAGTTGTCCTCTTTTTTTCACCTGAATTTTCCTCTTTGTCTGGAAGGAGAAATGGACAGCAACAAAAATACCTTTTTTGTTCTTTTTCTTCCCCAAAGTAGTTTTTGCTGTCCCAGCCTCAGAGGATTTTGCAGTCTGGCTCAACACTGAACTTCCTCTCTGGCTCACTGGATTTAAAAAAAAAAAAAAAAAAAGCATGCTTAAAGACTTGGGGTTTGGGTGCAATCTGGGGTCAGCTATTGCCTTTATGTGCTCTTTCCCACAGAGGGCAGAGCTGACTGACTGTCACTTGGGACCTGTCAGCTCTGCATTTTTCTCCTCAAAGCCTTGAGGTGAACATGCAACCCACAGTCTCCCCCGCTACCATCCCACCAGACCCTGTATTCATTCCCTCCCAGGCCATGGCCGTGCTCTATGAAAGTGTTAAGGCTGGGAGTGCTGGCTCTCACTTGGGATCCCAGCTGCTCAGGAGAGGAGGATGGGAGGATCGTTGTTCTAGGCAAGGCTGGGCAAAAAGACTTAGGGTGTGAGACCATATCCCAAAGAACAAGCCAGGTATGGTGGTTCCTGTCTGTAACCACAGCTCTTCTGGTAGCAGAACTGTCTTGCTTACAAGGCAGGGTTTTTTTTGTTTTGTTTTGTTTTGTTTTTGTTTTTGCGTGGGGCAAAAACATGGGACACTATCTAGAAAATAAAAAAAGTAAAGAGGGCTAGGTATACAGCTCAAGTAGTGGAGCAGCTGCCTAGCAAGTGGAAGGCCCTGATTCAAACCCGGATATTGCAACAACAAAAAAAATGAAAGAAAAGTGGCTCTCCGTTCCTGACCAGTTGATTGGCATGCTGTCACTGGAGTCATTCTAGAAGTCTTTCCCTTGCACCGGCCTGCAGTGCATCAGGAAACTGTACAACGCGCAGCCGACCCCGCCTGAGCCTCCCCATCACCAACGGCCAGGCTGGCCTCCAGCCCGGTGGCCCCCCAGCAGCCTCCCTGCTCCCCGGGTCTGTGAGCCACATTAGGATATCTGGCTCCTTCCCAAAGCCAGCTGTGGAGCCTCCTCCCCCTGCCCTCCCCCCAAGTGTCACTGGTACATTTCTAGGTATTCGAGCCCACCTAGAGATTGCATGCATAAAGCGATGATACAGGACTTGGTGAGGAGGACTGTCAGTAGCATGTGTGGTGGTGAACTCTGTTTCTACCTTCCCTGTTTTGTGCTCATATTGAAACCTGAAATGCCCTCGCCCTCAGCTTTTGCACTCATAGCTGGTGCTAATCACTTGATCCATGCCCCGAGTTCCAGCTTTTTGCTGGTTAACTAGAAATAAGTCTCTCCAGTTTGTCTGCCTGGGCTTCAAACTTAGACCCTCAGATCTCAGCCCCCTGAGTAGCTAGGATTACAGGCATGAGCCACCAGCACCTGGCCCCAGTCTGTTTTTGAGATAGGGTTTCATTAACTTCAACCCTGGATAGGATCAAACTGCAATCCTCCCATCTCCACCTTTTGCATAGCCAGGAGTACAGGTGTGAGCCACCACACCTGGCCCAAGGTGAACCCCCTTTTAATCACAAAGCAGTTCCTCCTCCTGGGTCCCCCCAATAGGAGCCTGGGACCAGGCTCCCTAGAGCCTACTTTGGAGCAGCTGAGAGGGCGTCGCAGTGTCTGGGGAGGCTGGGGAGGCCATCCCGTCCTTCTCCTTCATCTCCGCGTACTCTGCTATGGGTCTGAGGAGGGCCAGCGCTCCGGAGCACAGCAAGCTGTTGCCATCGAGGTAAAGCTCGCTGCGGGGGGATAACATGGTGACTTACCGGCTGCCCCGCCTCATGCCGGACACACGGTCACCATGGGAGATAACCATCTTCATACTCATAGGTCGTGTCATAGAAACTAGACCAGTGACATGCACGTGGGTCAAATACCCACTTTCAACATGGCACCCTTTTTTTTTTGGTCGGTTGTGGGGCTTGAACTCTGGGCCTGGGCGCTGTCCCTCAGCTCTTCAGCTCAAGGCGAGCGCTCTACCACTTGAGCTCCAGCACCGCTTCTGGTTTTTCTGGTGGTTTATTGGAGATAGGAGTCTCACGGACTTTCCTGCCCGGGCTGGCTTTGAACCGCGATCCTCAGATCTCAGCCTCCTGAGTAGCTAGGATTACAGGCGTGAGCCACCAGCGCCCGGCCCTTGAGCTTTCTTTTATGGTTCAAAGGAAGCAAGCAGCAATGATTGTCAAAATGAATGGTGCGGTATAAGACCAATGGTACGTAGGTGAGCCGGGGACCTGGGGAACAGTCTCACCAAATGGCACTCTGGCTGATGATGGAGCCCAGCTTTGACCCGCTCCAAGGGCCCAGCCCGCAGAACCGCAGGCTGAGGCCGTAGAGGCTCTGGTTGTTCTCCAGACCTGACAAGACACTCTCAATTTCTTCATTTCCAAATCTGAGGAGAAATGACAGCACAAATTTGGAAGCTTAAAAACCTATGCCAAGCCGGGTGCTGGTGGCTCACGCCTGTCATCCTAGCTACTCTGGAAGCTGAGATCTGAGAATCGCAGTTCAAAGCCAGCCCGGGCAGGAAAGTCCATGAGACTCCTATCTCCAATAAACCACAAGGTTTATTGGAAGTGGTGCTGTGGCTCAAGTGGTAGAGCCTTGAACTCAAAAGCACAGGGACAGCGCCCAGGTCCAGAGTTCAAGCCCCACAACTGAGGGGAAAAAAAAAAAAACAACCCTATGCCACTCAGAATGGAGGGACAAAGAGACAACAAATGCAGCAATGGTCCTCACTGAGATGCTATGTTGAAAAATGATCTGGGGCTGGGAAGGTGGCTCAGTGGTAGAGTGCTTGCCTTGCATGCATGAGGCCCTGGGTTCGATTCCTCAGCACCACAGAAGCAGAAAAAGCCAGAAGTGGCGCTGTGGCTCATGTGGTAGCGTGCTAGCCTTGAGCTGAAGAGCTGAGGGACAGCGCCCAGGCCCAGAGTTCAGTCCCGCGACCAACAAAAAAAAAAAAAAGAAAGAAAAATGATCTGTATATAACTTGTGGGTGGCGACAGGAGGGAAAAACTAGGAGAGAGCGAGGGAAGGGGTGACATTGTCCAAAAAGAAATGTGCTCTACCAGGCTTATTTACCTGTAACCCCTCTGTATATCACCTTTATAATAACACTAGAAAAAAATTAAAAATATATCTCATTGACCTCATTACTCATTGTAAAGTGCTCGCTAGAGCAGCTAGAAGCATTTCTGTTCATTTCTGCCCTCAGGGTTTCCAGAGCCAAACTGTGGGGGAGGGCTAAGCCAGCTCTCAGAGAGGGATCTGGGATGTAGAGAGGAGGAGACTCAAAGTCTCCTTGGGGCAGAAGATGGTTTGGAAGACCGATTCAAGGCTGGGCTTGTTAGTGCACTCCTAATGCCAGCTACTCAGGATGCAGAGAATGGGATCATTGTGGTTCAAGGTTCAAGGTAAAAAGTGAGACCTCATCATCACAACCAACAAGCTAAGTAGAGTGGTACGTTCCAGGGATATGGTTCAAGTGGTATAGAACGTGCCCAGAAAATGCCAGGCACCAAGAACAGAACCCTAGTACTGTCAAGCAAAACCTAGGTGGTCGTGGTAATACACACGTAATTCCAGCCGTGAAGGATGTGGAAGTAGGAGGGCCATGGTCTGCGGCTGACCTGGGCAAAGAAAACAAGACCCCCATCTGGAAAATAACTAAAGAGGATTGAGGATATGGCTCGGTAGCGGGGCTCTTGCTTAGCAAGGGTGAGAGCCTGAGTTCAAGATTCTGTATTGAAAAAACAAAACAAGAAAAGATGGGTAGGTGGAAGCAGGCCAGCTTTTTGGCTAAGATAGGGTGTCACTAGCTTTCTGCCCTGGCTGACTTGGAATCATGATCCTTCTATCTTTACATCCTGAGTAGGTGCGCCCCCCCCCACACTCAGCTAGGACCCCGGCTCTTCAAGGTGCTTCTGTCTCTAGACAGATCCCAGGCAGTCGAGTGTCAGACATCAGGGGTGGGCTCTGAGTCAGAGAGGCTGGGACAAGCCTCTACACTCTGAGGTCTAGGAGTGGGTATCGCATGAGGTTGGCATGAAGGCTAATCTGTGTGGCATGCTTGGCACACAGTGGACACTCAGTAACGTTCCGCTGATTACTGTTATCATTATTATTACTGTTCCTAGTCCATCTCCTGACAGGCTTAGACCCTCAGCCCTCGAAAGGACTTCTTCTGTCTCTCCCTAGCACCTCACCTTCCTCCCCACCTTCCTCTCCTCCTGCTGAAGGCTGACCCACCACTGAAGAGTTAGTTCTGCTCCCTCTCTCTCTGAAGAACTGCAGAATGCATCTATGGGGATCTTTTGTGATCATCAGACTTTCCATGTTGCACGATATAACATGTTTCCATCACACCTAAGGCTCCTTTCCCAAGCAGCCTGCCCTTGTCTACATCTCTGCCTTCCTTGGCAACGAGCCCCGTGTTGTAGAAACTTGTAGAAACTGGTCTTCCACAAATATGTGTTGAAGGAGCAAGTGAGTGAAAGAAGAGTCATTTTTGCTAACCCTGCCATTTCCCCAGGACCATCAGCTCCTGCCGGGGGTGGGGGGTGTGGGGGGGGAATGGAAGGCCTTGCAGGGCAGATGCCCCCCGCCCACAGCCAGCTCTGCTAGGGAGAGTTCCCTTCTCAGCCTCACTTGCAGTAATCCAGGACCAGAGAACGCAAACTGCTCAGCTGCAGAGCCTTCCCAAGGCGTTCCAGAGACCACAGGTCCATCTTGCAGTCCACAATCTCCAAGGTAGTGAAGGGGCAGGTGGTGTGCCCCTTCGATTCCAGAAACAGAGCCTGAGGGGACAGGGTTAGAACAAGGGTCAGGATGGCCAGTAGGCTCTGTGTGCTCCTTTGTGCTTGCCACTTGACTGAGCTCAGTATTCAACATGTTCATCTCTAAAGTCAGTTTTCAAATTACCCAAAGAAAGCCTGTTTTGGGGCTGGGAAGGTGGCTCAGTGGTAGAGCGCTTGCCTTGCATGCCTGAGGCCCTGGGTTCAATTCCTCAGCACCACATAAGCAAAAAAGAAAAAAAGCCGGAAATGGCGGTGTGGCTCAAGTGGTAGAGCACTGCCTTGAGCTGAAGAGCTGAGGGACAGCACCCAGGCCCAGAGTTCAGGCCCCACGACCGGACCCCCCCCCCAAAAAAAAAAGAAAGCCTGTTTTGCTTTCCTGTCATTCACTTTTGTGAGTGTGTTCATTTATTTTGTTGTTTTTTTTTTTTTTTTGGGTCCGGTTGTGGGGCCTGAACTCTGGGCCTGGGCGCTGTCCCTCAGCTCTTCAGCTCAAGGCTAGCGCTCTACCACTTGAGCCACAGCGCCACTTCTGGCTTTTTTCTTTTTGCTTATGTGGTGCTGAGGAATCGAACCCAGGGCCTCTGGGATGCAAGGCAAGCACTCTACCACTGAGCCACCTTCCCAGCCCCAGTGTGTTCATTTTACCAAGGAGTTTTACCACAGTATTTCAGCTGGGCTAGTATACTCAAAGCCACCAGCCAACAGCCAGACAAAGTGCAGGTGGAATACAGGGTGTTCGGTGCTTCTGTTTGGTTTTGTGGTTTAAAGCCAGTGTGGTGACTCACGAGCCTGGCGACCTCCGGGTTGCTCAGCTGGAAGCCCCAGATGCACATTTCCTTCCCCAGCTTGTAACACTCATCGCGAATGGTCATGAGCAAAGGCTCCAGGGAGATGGGCGGGACGATCCGGGGGGAGGTAGGTTTCACCAGTGTAAACTGCAGTGAGAAAAGATGACAGGCATGGATCAGAAAGGGATGCCCCGGCACCCAAGACTGTGGAAAAGGGGTGTCACCGTAAGACTGCATTGGGAGAATGGTGAAGAAACTTTGTGGCTCTGGGCCCTGATTTTAAATCCTCAGCACCATCAACCATGTAATAAAAATAGGGACTGCCCAGGCAGCACCATCACACCCATTGCTACCATCACACCGGCCCCTGCCGAGGCCCGTGACATCGATAACCTCCAAGAGTTTGGAAAATACTGCCACAGGGACTAATCTGAATGAGATTTATGATTAAGTAGTGGAGGCTAATTATAACAAATGCAGTAGCAAGAATTAGGAATTATTTTACAACACACACACAAAGATGATAACGGTCCAGGCACTGGTGGCTCACGCCTGTAATCCTGGCTACTCCAGGAGGCACTGGGGGGGTGGGGGGGGCTCAAGTGGTAGAGCTCTAGACTTGAGCACAGAGAAGCTCAGGGACAGTGGCCAGGTCCAGAGTTCAAGTCCCAGGTGAGGAAAAAAAAAAAAAAAAAAGATGGTGGGGGGAAAAGCAGGGGAATGTGTGGAGAGCCTTGGGAATGAACTGTTGAAGACGGGCCTAGAAAGACCTAGAGGATACATGGGGTGGATGCCGTAGAAGAGGGGGTTCCGAGGAAGAAGAGAAGGGGCAGCCGAGGGAGGAGGAAGACGGGGGAAAGCTGGGCAGTCAGAGAGGAACTTGAGAAGGTCCTTGTGTAGGGTGCAGAGGAGTCATGCCTTCCTTTACCCCTTTTCCTTCCCCCCTTTTCACCTCTCCCCGAAAGGAGAGAACCCACAGGGCAGCTAGTGACCCATGGTCTGGGCAGTGATCCCACAGTAATTTTTTTTGTTTTGTTTTGTTTTGGGGGCCGGTCGTGGAGCCTGAACTCTGGACCTGGGCACTGTCCCTCAGCTCTTCAGCTCAAGGCTAGCACTCTACCACTTGAGCCACAGCACCACTTCCAGCTTTTTTCTTTTTTGTTTATGTGGTGCTGAGGAATCGAACCCAGGGCCTCAGGCATGCAAGGCAAGCGCTCTACCACTGAGCCAACTTCCCAGCCCCCCTACAGTAATTATTTAAATCTCATCTCTAGCGACTTTATTCTGTCTTGCGTGGCACTAGGAAACCAGCTGGTGACTGATTAAACCACAGGACGGGAGGGGCAGGTGCAGAGGGGGAGCGGGAAGGTAGGGGGAGAGCTAACAGGCCCTCCATGCTAGGGGAACAAGACTCTGAACTCCAGTCAGAAGCTGATGGCAGATGCTGATGACCTGGCCATCCCTGGGCTTGAGGGGAGAGGCCCCAGGGAGTCCCTGGGGCTGACATCCACTCACCTTCTTGAGGATCCGCTCACTGTCGATGCTTTTTTTCAGATCCTTCTTGATGGCTGGGCACACAGAGGTTTGGGACTGTGCGCAATACTTCTCATAGGTTTTCAGGAACTTTTGAAGTATGGGGATGGGCAGCAGAGCCCCTTTAGTTTTCCGTTTCCCTTCCTTGGCTTTTGGCATGGTTTATAGCGGTGGATCCCACTTGAGTCTGAGAAGAGTAACCTGCCATGACACTCAGAACGAAGGTCTTTATAAGGTCCAGAGCCTGTACCTTATAAAGCAGTGGTGACCACTGCTTCAGGCTCCTCTGAGATTATGACATACTTACTTCAGCCTAAATTGCACATTGTGAATGTAATTCACTGATTACCCAGTCAGTACCAATATTGTCTCGACAGCCTAGCACTGGTAGCTAACACCTGTAATCTTAGCTATTAAGGAGGTTGAGATCGCCAGCCCTGGCAGGAAAGCCCGTGAGATTCTTATTGGTAATTAACACCAAAAGGCCAGAAGAGGAACTGTGGCTCAAGTGCTAGAGCATCATCCTTCAGTGAAAAAACTAAGAGACAATGCCCAGGCCCTGAGTTCAAACCCCAGTACTGGCACACACACACACAAGGACCTGATTGTAACACTACTTCTCATCTCTCTGCTTGCTCTCCAACCCCTCAGCCAGAGTGATATTTTGAAATATAAATCAGATCATGAAGTTCTCCTGGTTAAATATCTCCAATAGACTCCCATGGACTTATCTTTACTGTATTTTTTTATTTTGGTGGTACTGAGATGTGAACTCACAACCTCACGCTTACTGGTGTTCTCTGATTTCCCCTCCCCAGTCCTGAAGAAATTTTGAGCTGGGTGCCGATGGCTCACACCCGTCATCCTAGCTACTCAGGATCGCAGTTTGAAGCCAGCCGGGGCAGTAAATTCCATGAGACTCATCTCCAATTAACCAGAAGTGGTGCTATGGCTCAGAGTGGTAGAGTGGTACCCTTGAGCAAAAAAAAAAAAAAAAGCTTAGGCACAGGACTCAGGCTCTGAGTTCAAGCAATTGAAAAAAAAAGATTGGCCTATTCTACCAGCTATTGTCTACTATGCCTAAAGTGTACTGTCACTACCACAAAGTTACAGGGCACTAGGGGACATTTTAAGTTCAAGAGAAAGCTAGAAACATGTTAGACACTGTGTGAACTACTAACTGGAAGTAGTTTACAATTTCAAATTAGAGTATGTACATATTAATATATATGGTCATATAGATAAGCAAATTGCCCCCCCCCCCCCCATGAGTGAAAAGTATTTGGGGAGAGTGAATGAACCTGGTAGAATGTAAGACACAAGATACTAGGGTAAGGAAAAAGCACACTGAGTGTATCACTAGTTGGGACTGTAACAGATTGAGCCAGTACTAAAACTAGAAACGTGGGGGCAAACTAGGCCACTGTTTGCCCACACTTCTCCACTTCCAGCTATGGCCCAGTGTAGATTTAATATACTACTCAAGCAGGGCACGGGTGGCTCACACCTGTAATCCAAACGACTCAGGAGGCTTAGATGTGAGGATGGTAGTTCTAAGTCAGCAAAGTCCATGAGACCTTTATCTCCAAGTAACCACAAAATGCCTCATCTGGAGCTGTGGCTCAAACGGTATAGATAGCACTGGCTTTGAGCAAAAGAGCTCAGGGACATTGCCAAGGTCGCAATTCAAGCCCCACTACAGACCCAAAAGTTGTGTGTGTGTGTAATTTACATATATATATATAATTTTTCCCCAGTCCTGGGGCTTGAACTCAGGGCCAGGGCGCTGTCCCTGAGGGTCTTTTGCTCAAGGCCAGCCTTCTACCCCTTGAGCCATAGCTCCATTTCTGGCCTTTTCTGTGTCTGTGGTGCTGAGGCTTCATGCATGCTAGGTGAGCTCTCTACCACTGTGTCTCCGGGTGCTACCGGCGGACCAGGGTGGCCAGGTCCGAGTGGGGCCGCGGGCTCGGGTCAGGGGTGGTGGGCACAGGGGGCGGGCGGCTTTCCCTGGGCCTCTGGGCCTGGAGCGGCTCTGGCCGGGGCTGCAGCGCGGCTGAGCGGGGCTGGAGGCGCACTGGATAGCAGGGGGCTGGGGCTGGGGGGGGCACGGAGGGAGGGCGGGGATGAGGGGGGACACGGGGAGAGGGGTGGGGATGAAGGGGGGCGGGGATGAGGGGGGGACGGGGGTGAGGGGGGACAGGGTGTGAGGGGGCGGGGATGAGGGGGGGACGGGGATGAGGGGGGGGACGGGGGTGTGATGGGAGATGGGGAGGGGGGCGAGGATGGGGGAGGACGGGGGGGCAGAGATGGAGGGGACCGGGGGTGTGAGGGGGCCGGGATGAGGGGGGGAACAGAGGGGGAGGGGACGGGATGAGGGGGGACGGGGTGTGAGGAGGGGGGACGGGGGTGTGAGGGGAGATGGCGAGGGGGCGAGGATGGGGGAGGACGGGGTGGGGGCAGAGATGAGGAGGGGACCGGGGGTGTGAGAGGGCAGGGATGAGGGGGGGAACAGAGGGGGAGGGGACGGGATGGGGGGGACGGGGTGTGAGGAGGGGGGACGGGATTAGGGGGGACGGGGTGTGAGGAGGGGGGACGGGATAGGGGGGGGCGGGTGTGAGGAGGGGGGCAGGTGTGAGGGGACGGGGTGTGAGGGGGGGACAGGATGAGGAGGGACGGGGTGTGAGGAGGGGGGACAGGATGAGGAGGGACGGGGTGTGAGGAGGGGGGACAGGATGAGGGGGGAAGGGGTGTGAGGAGGGGGGGCGGGGATGGGGGGGACGGGGTGTGAGGAGGGGGGACAGGATGAGGAGGGACGGGGTGTGAGGAGGGGGGACAGGATGAGGGGGGAAGGGGTGTGAGGAGGGGGGGCGGGGATGGGGGGGACGGGGTGTGAGGAGGGGGGGCGGGGATGAGGGGGGACGGGGTGTGAGGAGGGGGGACAGGATGAGGAGGGACGGGGTGTGAGGAGGGGGGACAGGATGAGGGGGGACGGGGTGTGAGGAGGGGGGGCGGGGATGGGGGGGACGGGGTGTGAGGAGGGGGGACAGGATGAGGAGGGACGGGGTGTGAGGAGGGGGGACAGGATGAGGGGGGACGGGGTGTGAGGAGGGGGGGCGGGGATGGGGGGACGGGGTGTGAGGAGGGGGGCGGGGATGGGGGGGACGGGGTGTGAGGAGGGACGGGGAGGGGGGACGGGGTGTGAGGAGGCTGGGGGACAGGTATGAGGGGACGGGGTGTGAGGAGGGGGGCGGGGATGAGGGGGGAAGGGGTGTGAGGAGGGGGGGCAGGTGTGAGGGGACGGGGTGTGAGGAGGGGGGCGGGGATGAGGGGGGAAGGGGTGTGAGGAGGGGGGGCAGGTGTGAGGGGACGGGGTGTGAGGAGGGGGGCGGGGAGGGGGGGAAGGGGTGTGAGGAGGGGGGGGCGGGGATGAGGGGGGACGGGGTGTGAGGAGGGGGGGCGGGGATGAGGGGGGACGGGGTGTGAGGAGGGGGGCGGGGAGGGGGGACGGGGTGTGAGGAGGGGGGCGGGGAGGGGGGACGGGGTGTGAGGAGGGGGGCGGGGAGGGGGGACGGGGTGTGAGGAGGGGGGCGGGGATGGGAGGGACGGGGTGTGAGGAGGGGGGCGGGTATGAGGAGGGGACGGGGTGTGAGGAGGGGGGCGGGGAGGGGGGACGGGGTGTGAGGAGGGGGGGCGGGATGAGGGGGGACGGGGTGTGAGGAGGGGGGGCGGGATGAGGGGGGACGGGGTGTGAGGAGGGGGGGCGGGATGAGGGGGGACGGGGTGTGAGGAGGGGGGGCGGGATGAGGGGGGACGGGGTGTGAGGAGGGGGGGCGGGATGAGGGGGGAAGGGGTGTGAGGAGGGGGGCGGGGAGGGGGGACGGGGTGTGAGGAGGGGGGCGGGTATGAGGAGGGGACGGGGTGTGAGGAGGGGGGCGGGGAGGGGGGACGGGGTGTGAGGAGGGGGGACAGGATGAGGGGGGACGGGGTGTGAGGAGGGGGGCGGGGATGGGAGGGACGGGGTGTGAGGAGGGGGGCGGGTATGAGGAGGGGACGGGGTGTGAGGAGGGGGGCGGGGAGGGGGGACGGGGTGTGAGGAGGGGGGGCGGGATGAGGGGGGACGGGGTGTGAGGAGGGGGGGCGGGATGAGGGGGGACGGGGTGTGAGGAGGGGGGGCGGGATGAGGGGGGACGGGGTGTGAGGAGGGGGGGCGGGATGAGGGGGGACGGGGTGTGAGGAGGGGGGGCGGGATGAGGGGGGACGGGGTGTGAGGAGGGGGGGCGGGTATGAGGAGGGGACGGGGTGTGAGGAGGGGGGCGGGGAGGGGGGACGGGGTGTGAGGGGGGGATGGGGAGGGGGGACGGGGTGTGAGGGGGGCGGGATGAGGGGGGACGGGGTGTGAGGAGGGGGGGCGGGATGAGGGGGGACGGGGTGTGAGGAGGGGGCGGGGAGGGGGGACGGGGTGTGAGGAGGGGGGGCGGGATGAGGGGGGACGGGGTGTGAGGAGGGGGCGGGGAGGGGGGACGGGGTGTGAGGAGGGGGGCGGGATGAGGGGGGACGGGGTGTGAGGAGGGGGCGGGGAGGGGGCGGGGAGGGGGGTGGGCAGCGGGGTCCCCCCCGCCCCGTCCCCGGCCCCGGCCCCGGCGGCCGCGGCTTTCCGCCCGCACGCCGGGAGAGCCGAGCCACCCACCTCGGCGGGGAGCGCGGCCTCGCGAGGCTCGGCGGGCGCGCGGAGTCCGGCGCCGGACGCCCCGGCGACCCCCGGCCCGCACGGTCCCGGCGTCCCGGCCGCACCGGCTTCCCGCGTCGTGCTCGGGCGCCATGGAGACGGCGGCGAGGGCGGGCCGCAGGCCGCGCGGGGACGTGCGGGCCTCGCCCCAGGACCAGCGCGTGGCGGCCGGTGGAGCTGCGAGGGACGAGCTCCGCCGGGGGACGGGACTCCGGGAGCCGAGACGCGCGCGTCGGGGCGGCCGCGGGACCCTGCACCTGTTCCCGACGCCCCTCCCCTCCCCGGGACCTGGGCGAAACGCGCATGCGCAGGGCAGAGGCCGCAGCGCGTTCCCATAGAAACCGAGTCAGGACGTCCCTGCCCACGGACCTGGGAGAAGGACGCATGCGCAGGGCAGAAGCTGGGAGCGCGTTCCCATAGAAACCGGATTTGGGACAAAGGACGCATGCGTGCGCCG